CACCACTATTCTAGTAGTATCCGCCCTGTCGAAACAAGCACCATTATTCTAGTAGTATATGTCATAGCAACTCGAAACGTCGTGCAACTTGTTCCTGGTGCTGATGAAGATGTGCCATAACGGACTGAAAAATTGTCCAAAATTTCATAAACATATGCGGATCATTATCGAGGCCTTTCGAGAATATGTTAAAATATACACACTAAAATAACTGAATTTATAACTCAAAAGATTTTTGAAAATATATTTAAGACGACGTATGAACAATCATATGATAATAAATAACATATATATATATAAGATATTCCTGCTTAGATAATGGGTAGACTGAAGTGAATCATGAGGGAAACATAATGGTATTTGCTATTATATTAACATTTTCTGAACATCGAGTGTAGGAACATGTGACCTACCTGAAAGGCCTGAAGTCTGTCAACTGTAAGTTATAACTAACAATGAGACACGTTCCCGCAACCAGAAAAATCGCCACGAGGAGGAAGATCAGTTTCCTCTTTAAAAATAAAAAAAAAGCAGATAAATGTTTTCAGGAACCAAACTATGAAAAACATACTTTGTTTCTACAGACTTCTAAAGTAGAAAGTATACTAAGGGTTATCTCATGACATGAGTTGTTCCAGCCTAATCAAACGCTACGTCTATCTGACTACGTGTTGATTATCTACAGACTTCTAAAGTAGAAAGTATACTAAGGGTTATCTCATGACATGAGTTGTTCCAGCCTTATCAAACACTACGTCTATCTGACTACGTGTTAATTAAGCAGTTATATAAAGTATAGCTACGTGAATTATTATTATTAATAATTATGTAAAGTATAGTTACGTAATCAATTTGTATAGCATTGTTAATCATTATATAAAGTATAGTTACATAACCAGTTCGTGTAGCATTATGAATCATTATATAAAGTATAGTTACCTAACATTTTTATGTAACCTTATTAATAACAATATAACAGTATTTACTAAATATTTATGGTGTAGCATAATTATTAATCCTAATAACCTAATTAATGATTTACGTTTTTCAAATAACGCAGACTCAGTAATTTTATAGTATACAAGACCGTGACTATCGTATTTTTTATTTTATTGTGACATCAGCGAATTTCTATTTGTATCCAGTAGATTACATAACCTGGCGACAATGAAGTTTAGACACAAACTAAAATGTTGATAACATATTCATATTTTCCTTTATGAAATAAGACTTTTTACAGTTATTTCTTAACTTTGTTATGACGTTTATGTTATAATGACAGTTACTATTTACAGAATTTGAAATACATTTCATTCTGTCCTCGCCAAACATAGAAATAATTCATTGATTTTCCTCAGCACTTGGGAATAAAGCCTGTAAAACACAGACAGCTTTAAAATCGATTATATTCAGACTTTACTATTCTATTGTTTTTATTAAGACGTATTTTGAGATAGAAATTTATAAAGTGTAACCGTTCATAGGTCAGTATAGAGAACAATGTCGTTGATTGCTACTTTTATAATACCACTTTAAACACATTCAAATGCTATTTACGTATATTCAATTTCTTCGTTACTTTACAAGTTTCAAAACTTCAACAGTTTTTGATCTTATTTTTATTATTACTACTAGGTTAGATATATTTGTTTATCTTACTTTCATTATTACTACTAGGTTAAATATATTTGTTTATCTTACTTTTCATTATTACTACTAGGTTAAATATATTTGTTTATCTTACTTTTCATTATTACTACTAGGTTAAATATATTTGTTTATCTTACTTTTTATTATCTTTCAATATGTTTAAACTATAACTATCCAGCTATTCAGGATGTAACTTTAATATTATACGCCGTCCTAAAGATCACAAGTCTTGTTTACCCCTTAAACTCATATCATCGGACAGAAAGTATATGGTGGGTTTTTAGACAGACTGCTGCATCCGTTATTGGACTTAATCCCTGCTCGTATCAACAATACATATCATTTTCTTGAACAATTACATAATGACACGAACCTTCTTATTGATGATTATATTATATTTACAATGGATGTTGTTTAATTATATCCTAGTATCCCAATTAAATAATTGTTTGTTTGTTTTTTTAATTTCGCGCAAAGCTACACGAGGGCTGTCTGCGCTAGCCGTCCCTAATTTAGCAGTGTAAGACTATAGGGAAGGCTGCTAGTCATCACCACCCACCGCCAACTCTTGGGCTACTCTTTTACCAACGAATAGTGGGATTGACCGTCACATTATAACGCTCCCACGGCTGAAAGGGCGAGTCGAGCGTCCTAACAACCTGGCCATTAAAGAAGGGATAGATTATGTTATGACTATGATTAAAGAAAACAGAGATGACTTAGAACTTTAGTTGTTATTTCAACAGACCGGTTAGTCTGAGGTGTCTGTTAGTAATGGGATTTAATGGGGAATTTTATAAACAAATCAGATGGATAGCTATGGGCAACAGAAGTCTTAGCTGTAATATTTATGTACATGCTGAACTGAAAAAACTCAATTCTTGGAAAACAGGAGGTAATATTGATTCAAACAATCTGGTACAGATATATATATATATATAAACAGGATAAAATATAGACCTATCAGTCTGGTACAGATATATATATAAACTGGAGAGAATATAGACCTATCAGTCTGGTACAGATATATATAAACAGGAGAGAATATAGACCTATCAGTCTGGTACAGATATATATATATATATAACAGGAGAGAATATAGACCTATCAGTCTGGTACAGATATATATATAAACAGGAGAGAATATAGACCTATCAGTCTGGTACAG